TCTGTTAGTAAAACTTTTACATATTTTATCAAGGTCCTTTCTCAGGGCAAACTAGCTGTCTCTCCATTCAAGGAAAGGTCTACAAACTGGCTCAAATCTGAAAATTGGTGCATAGGCCAAGATTTTATTTTATTTTATTGTCATGATACAATAGAGACTTTCACTTGTTTGAGAATTTTTCTGCCTATACAGATCAAATAAAGATATGATAGATTTCTTATTTGTGTCCTGAAAACACCATGATTGATTAGCAAGTACCAAAGGTTCATATGAGTCATGCCACCATACAACTCCCTTTGCCTATGCTGACCGTTATGGGTTAGGCCATTGTGGACATTGCTATGTCTATACTACCCATTACAATAACTGCCATCACCTGGCCTTTGGTCATTCAGTGCTGCCACCTGGCCTCTGCTACTTTGGGGGCTCAACAAAACCCATTGCATTTAATCTATCCAACCGAGCAGCAGCATCTTCAACCCTAAGGCCTGACAGGAGGAAAAGGGGAGAAAACCCCTCAAATGTGCTGGTGCCCCTTTCACCATTTTGGGCCTCTCAGGATTAATGAAGGGCATGTCTTCTGGGCCTTCCCATTAGGGAAAATTAGGTTTTACACAGCATATCCACCCTAGCATTGTAATTTCCTTGAGCCTTAAAATCCCTTCATCTACACTAAGTCAAGGGATATGAGGCATCCCAAGTTCATTTTTGGTAGGCCACTTTTTGTCAAGTGGTTCAGTGAACCATTAAACAAACCTTGACACACACACACACACACACCCTTTTTTAAATAGTGCAAGCTTAAACCTAGAGTCTCCAGTCAGTGGGCCCCATATCAACAAACTCAACCTCTTCAAGTCAAGTTTTATGAATTTTAAGGGTGCGAGATAATGGTGGCCCACCATTATTTCACACCCTTATAATACAGTTCCCCATATATTCCCCAGACTTCTGCTTGAATGAATCAGAAAACTCATTATTTACACCTTCCCCATGGGCTACACTTTGTACCTCCCCTCTTAATGTGCTTAGCCTGAAGACTAGGTAAATGTTGAGAGCCAAATATTGGTTGGCCCTGGGTGATATCAATACTGCTCTGACAGGAATCTCCTTCACAGAAAGTCACTGCTGTTTTAGCAGACCCTGAAGGATTAAATTATTCAGTCAAAGGTAAAAAAAGTAGCATTTCAGTGGGTGTGGATGGGAGCACAGCTTCTGCTGAGGGTAGAGAAACTACATCCTCTGGTCAGACAAACCCTTGAGAATCTGAAGGTTCAAAGTTCTCAGCTTCAATAGGTCCATTCAAAGTCATGGGCCCATTCTTTATCAATTAACTTTAACTGCTGACATCCTCCGAGGCTGGGATGTGAATTTTTGCTGTAATTCAAACACCTTATAATGATGGCTTTGGTTTGATTTTTCACAACTTGAGTTTTGTGGCTGCTGGAGAGATTTTCTTCTGGAGCACAGTTAGAAACCTTTAGACTGTTTATATGCATCTGAAGCTGGTTGATTTTATTGCTGAATTTATTGTTGTCCTTCACCATATTCTGAGATGCTAGAAGTGGGTTAATTTTATCACAGAGCTCATTCTTTTCCATTGTCAGTTCATCCAGTGATAGTAGGAAAAAACAACCATCATCTTCTGTTTCCTTGTTTTTCGTACAGCCAAAAGGTTTGTATACAGGGTCACTAAATCTATTGCCTCTCACAATTGGTGAATCAGGATAATCACATGCCATTTGTCTCCTTAAGTTTGTAAATTGGTTCACACCATGAGCTTTTAGTATTCTCCTCTAAGCTTCTGGCAGAGACTTCAATAACTGTTGGAAAACTGCAAAGTCTGTTCTAAACACCTAAATAATTAATCCTTATACTTTTGTTGCTCCAGAACCACTTCTGGTACCCAGATCAGTATTAGTCAGGGTTCGCTAAAGGAATAGAACTTACACAGTGAATATGTATGTATGTTTGTATGTATGTATATAAAGGGAATTTGTTAGAATGACTTTCAGGCTGTGGTCCAGGTAGTTCAGCAATGGCTGTCTACCAACAGCAGGCCCAAGAATCCATTCAGTTCACAAGGATGGAGTTCTCAGGTGGTCTTCAATACATGCCAGAATACTGAAGAAGTAGGCTATAATGCCAGTGAAGAAATGGATTTACAGTGAGAGCATGAGCATGCTGGCAAAATGAGCAAGCAACTCTTTTCCATAATTTTTATATAGGCTACCAACAGAAGGTATGGCCCAGATTAAAGGTGGTCTTCCCACCTCAAAGGGTAAGGATTAAAAATGGGTCCCCCATGATTTAATTAAGAAAAAAATACCTCAGAGCTTTACCCAGCCACTTGGGTTTTAGTTCATTCCAGATATAGGTGAGTTGCTAACCAAGAATCTCCATCACAGCCATGAAATATGAATGTCACAAAGATTATTCTGTGTTTAGCTTCAGCTGCTATTATGTCATAAGTAAAACATATTGTTTGGCTTGCTGATCAAGCATGGTGTCTTTTCAAAGCTTGGCAGCTCATTGCAATTAGTATACTGATAATATTTGTATTGGATACATGTGAGCGTGGTGCTTAATTGAGGCTGTCACATACCATTTAAGTGAGACGTTTGATATCATTTATTGTTTATCATCTATATGTAAATATCACTCGCCCTCCCTTGCTAGTATACTCAGTAAAAGCTTTCCAAAAGTTTGAGATTTTTATTTTTACCATCAACTGGGCACATGTATGCAAAAGTATAAGGGACCTAGCAGGTTCATACTGAGTCTCATTTTCAGTCGTTGTATTTGGGGGGGATCATTTCGATGGGATGTGTTAGATAAGTGGAGGTCTGCTTCTGCCTTAGATATAAAAACACTCACACTCTGTTTTATGGCAAGTTTCCTAGTTGCCAGAAATATCAATAGCCAACCTGGGAAAGTGCCAGGTACCTCTAGTGGCTTGAGGTATAGATGTGATGAGTCAACCTTTTTTTTTTTTTTTTTTTTTTAATAATGCTTAGTTTGGGAAGGGCTAACACCAAATGAAGTTGGCATAACTTCACCCCCTTTTGTGGAGGGTGAAAAATGGAGAAAATGGTTTTATCCATAGCCATAGGAGCCTGTGATCGAAGGCCCATGTGACAACCTACCCCCATTCCCCCAATTTGGTAAAATTCAACACTGGTTCCAGACATGTGTAACATGACAATCTCCTAACATTGTGTGTCTACTTTAGAATGCTGGGATACCCTCTGAAGCAAGTTCCTAAACTCTTCCTTCCAAACTGCTGTGACTGTGCAAGTTCTGTTACCTCACTGAAACTCAGTATTCCTTGAGGAAGCCCATTGCTCTCCCAAGGCCACACTCCATGAACTCATGTGGAGAGTGTAGGACATGGGTCCTGTTAGTAGAAATCGTCAACTTCTCTAGAATGTCTCAGGAGAGAGGTTACTTTTCAAATAAGCACATGCTAATGCTGAGAACCTTGGACTTCCCCTTGGCTTCCAGCAGGAGTAAGCAACTGAATTTACCTCTTGTAGCACTGTTAAATTCTTTGCAGAGTGTGGGGAGCAATTCTAAGAGTCAGTGTATTAATCAAAAACAAAGTACATAAGATGAATTTGTGACCAGAAAGAAAATGCATACTGGTAAACCTTGAAACACTGAAAATTTGCTGTCATTATTGCATTGTTTTTGATGGAAATATTGTTGAGTGATTTTATTTCCTTTGATTCTCCAAGGAATGGTAGAGTAGGTTTGATGGAGTCAGAGGTGAATGTGCCTTGGAACAGGGTTGGTTGAGAGATTCTCAAATGGGGATTAGGATAGATTTTTCACCCCTCAAACAGGAGAACAGACCACAAGGAATAACTAAAGGAAAGGCAAGTAGCTACTAAGGTTGACATACTGTTGGGCTCTTCATGACAATATTTTTTATTTCTGGCTCATTTTGGTTTATTTGGGAGCATCTATCTTTTTTTTTTTTTTAATTCTGCCTGGTTCTAGAAGAATACTTTTGTTTAATTTCCAAAGAATCAAAATGGTATCTGTAGTATAATCATGCTTTACAGGTAAAACCAAAAGGAACTCAAGATCATGTCCATTTAAGAGGCGCAGACCTAATGTATGCTGAAGAATGTGTATGTTTTTATTTGCTAGGCAAGTCGACCTAACATAGCACTCAGCAGATACTTGTAAACTTTGGTTGAATCAAGTAGGGTATTTGTAATATTTAAGGAATTACATCTAAACATAATTTAAGCATGCTGTTCTAAAATCTGTTTAAGACATATGGTTATAAATAATAAATTAGTATTTATTTTAGAAAAAACATTTAGGAATTAATTAAGCCTATTATTTTGAATGCTGTAGCTGATGTTCTGGTATTACAGACCTCAAGATGTTTCACTGGTGTCTCTAAATCCATAAAATGTCCTGCAAATTCATGGGCAGAGGGCTGAGGACTAGTTCTCTTGAGTTCAGTGTGTACAGTCAAAAGTATAATGAGCTTGTTGACCAAGTGGCAAGAATATATATAGTACAAGCATGCCAGGAAAGTCCATTTCTGTCTCACAGCCAGGCACATAAGAGATGGAAGAAATTTTGATCCTGGGTGGGAAGGTTACGTAAAAACACACATAGCCACAGCATGGAGCGGCTTCTTTCTGATTCAATTTCATAAATCGCTACATGAGGAAGCGTTCTCCGGTAGATAACACTCAGAAATCAGCACTTAATATGGCAGTAATGGTTATTGCTGTCATTCTTTACATCTTTAAAAATAATTAAGCATTACTGCACAGGCATTATAAAGTTCCCCGATCACCATTAAGAGGATATTTGAGGTTTGATGTAATTTAGCAAATTACATTATACAGTAGTTAAGGTTTTATGCAGTGGAGTAAAATGAGTGGTAGTTAAGCACACTCCCATGCAACACATTGTACGGAGTCACATGTTCCAGCTGCTGTCAGCTTTGTTCCAGTGTCATTATTGCTTTGCAGGCTGACGTTCCTCAGGGAGTGATTCGAGTGCAAGCTCCCCATCTTTCAAAAGTTTCCATGGCAATACAGCTAACCGAAGAACTAAAAGCCAGCGACGTACTCACCAGGTTTCTCAGCCAAGAAAGGTAGAGGCCTGTTTTAATTATTTTGTGGGATAGCTCACTTTTATATTCATATTCTCCCTTTCTCTCACTCCCTCTCTTTCCCTCCCTCCCTCTGTCTGTCCCTCTCCCTTCCCCTCTCCTTTCTCTCTCTCTCTCTCTCTCTCTCTCTCTCTCTCTCTCTCTGTATGTGTTCCCATCAGAAGAGCAGAGCAGACTTGACAGACCATCGGAGATAATAGTCAGTGGTATCTTGTGTTCAAGTAGAGCTTGTTTTAGGCAGCATGTGTGAGCAGTCCATCACCATTTGTCTGCAATGAGCTTGGCAAACGAAACTGCTCAACGGCCTTTCCAGAACACGTTGGTTAGAGGTTAATTACTGTTTGTAGGCTGTTACAAAGATTGCTAATTAGGATGCAGCAAGATTAAGATGAAGATGTAACTTTCTCTATGAAATTTAATGAATAAGAAAGAAATGGTCCAATTTAAAAACTGAAAGCTTGGATGATTGCGAGAGGACACTCAGTTTCCCGAGGCCTGAAGTCACAAGAACAGAACAAGCTGTTCTCGTTAGGGACAACCATGTCCTTCTTCTGGGGCAGATATTGTACAGTCCTTAGAAAGCTCTGCTCCTCTTCATTGTACACACTAGAGTCTGTGTGACACCCATGAACTTGAGAGGTCCTAATAAGCTGATAGGGATTTTAGCTTTTCCGCTCTAAATATTTTTGGCAAAAGACAGTTTTAATGATGTTTCCCCTATTTATTCTATGAATTTAAAATTCTTTGAGAGAGAGTGTGTGTGTGTACGTGCCCAAATTTGTGGAGTCCATTCTCTCTCTATCCTGATACAGATTCTAAGGACTGAACTCAGATCACCAGGCTTGTGCAACAAACACCTTTACCTACTGAGCTATCTCATCAGCCTGAGTCTAAAATTCTTGAAAGAAATCCAGAGTGTTAGCATTTCTGTCTGTAAATAGTCTATTTGGGGCTTTCTTTGAGGTTAATCTCGTTCTCACAGTGGGGCCTTCAGTCACGCTGTCTGCTGATGCCTCTGCAGTGTCAACACAGCGTCGAAGACCCTGTGCGAGGCGTTAAGGAGTTTGAAACCTTAAAATGGCCACTCCTCTCCTATTGTATAATTTGGGAGAATGGATGGCTCTCCAAAGGTCACAGATGGTGGCGAAGTGGAATAGGGACTTCTGGGCAGAAACTCAGTCCCCTGCAAACCAGCACAAACTTCCTTGCAGTAGCCATCTGCAGCAAATACCATCATTCCTTCTGTTTCACTGATAAGAGCCTGGCCAGGGAACGTATTTGCCCAAGGTCACACAGCTGGAAATATGAACCTATATTTCTGTCCACAGAGTCAGCCTCTGAACTCCCCCCAACACCAGCTCCCGGGAGTCACACTGGCATTAAGCTCTGAGTTGATTCTCTTGAAACTAGGGTTGGGAGCATTTGAAATTTCTCAGTTGATCTTTTCCCCCTAGAGTGTCTCAGCTACAATGAAGTCAACTCACTTCCTCTTTTCTTTCCAGATTTGACCTTTGACACTACCTTTGACCCTTCTTTCCTCCCTGGGCATGTTTTATTCCCTCCCAGAATGTATTTCTGGAGATCTGGATGGCTTGAGACAAGGAGCCTCCTACAAGCTCCAAGGACTCCGTTCTGCTCATCTGCCCTACTTAGACTTTCTGATCATAAATCCTTCAGGAGTTGTACAACATGTTCCACTGGGACTTTAATACTTCAAGTCCAACATGAAACATTAGTCAGTATATCCAAATGCATTCTATTCTGAGTTCAAGTTGAGCTGGTGCTTTAAATGATGACATTTTAATTTATTTTGTGTGCATTTATATGTGCACAGATGCAAAAGCCACAGTATTCGGGCCAGTTTCCTCCTTTTGCCATGTGGATTCTGGGTCACTGGGTTTGGCAGTAGGAGCCTTTCCCTGCTGAAGTTCTCTCATGTCCTAGCTTAAAGTACTCATTCTTCAGTTGGAATAGCAGGACACAATAGAACTTCCTTATAGTCTCATGAGAATTGAGTAGGGAAGTGGCCATTAGGTCCTTTTGATGTTTATTTGGGCCACAGAGTAAGGGAAGTGCTCAATAAATGTTTGTACTATATTTTCTTCTCTAACACGTTCTTGTGTTTTCTCCATTTATATTCCATTTTTCTGGGACAGTTAGGAAGCTAGCTCCCTTCCTCCCATCATTCATTTTCTAACTATCTCAGCCAAAGCAATGAGCATATGAGAACAAAAAAGTATAAGAAATTGGCCATTAACCCATCTTTCTTTGGTAAAATATTGATGCCTTTCCATTAGTTATAAATTTGTTGATTTTATATGAAAGCTATCCTGTGCCAGAAAATTTGTTCAGTTTTCTGTAAAACTGCAAGAACTATATAGTTCAGAAAATCACTCTGAGAGCAATATTAGACCAGATTCTTAAAAAAATCAAGTCCTTTACAACATTCCTTTTGGGTTCTGGGTTCCATAGCCACAAGACTATACCATTTGGAGTCAGACTGTGTTTGATTGTTGGTATGCAAGGCAGCAGGTGGAACTTAAGAGTGTGTGTGTGTGTGTGTGTGTGTGTGTGTGTGTGTGTGTGTGCGCGCAGCCATGGGCAGTGATGGAGTGGGCATAGCGGGGAAGAGAGAAAATGGCAGAACCAGAGGACCATTAGCTGCTTAGAAAACCTACTGTTAATGCCAGGAATTCCTCATAGCTGGAGTACTGTCAGACTTGCCTATTTTCTTCTTGCTTATATGATGTATTTCCTCTAGGCTTAAAAAATTTTTATTACCTGATGAGTGCTTTGCTTACATGCCTGTCTGTACCATGTGTGTGTGTGGTATCTGTGGAACCCCAAAGAAGGTGTCTGATCCCCTGGAACTGGAGTTACAGCTGGTTGTGAGCCACCTTGTGGGTGCTGGGAATTGAACCGCAGTCCACTGAAAGAGTAGTTAAGAATAGTCAGTGCTCTTCACTGCTAGCCATCTCTCTAGCCGCCATCCTCTCGACCTTTTGTCAGCAACCCACACCTTCTCTGTTCACCTATGCACACACCGAGATAGATTTTAAGAGCAAATTCTTCAGCTTCTTCCTTAAATACAAGTTTTAGCAGGTTGTTGAAGTAATTCTTTCAGAGAAACCTTCGAAAAATCACAGAACTGCAAAGTTTTTGTATATGAGTGAACTTAATATTTTAGAAAAGTTTGCTTTTGTAGCCAATATGTAAAGCCTAAAACCGTACACAGTTATGGAGTAGTGAGAGGTACACATTCAAGGCCATGCCATGTAATGTCAGAAGGTAACAAAATGTATTTGTGGGCTTAACCTACAACACCCTTGTATGGTAGATGGAAAATGCTATTCTCTGAAAGCCGCAAATGTATAAACAGCATACTGAGTGGAGTCTAGGGCTTAATTCCACACTGTACGGGTGGATACACCTTCCAAATCTGAATGGCCATCACCTATGTGGCACATCTTCATGGCATGCATTCATCATGTACACCACTAAGGTCTCATGACGGATAGTAAACACAGTGAGAAAACCATGTCAGAATCTTGGCCCTACTCAGAGAGCCAAGAATCACATCAGTAACCGTGTAATACCAGTGTTACATTAACTTGGGTTTTGGGTATTTACAAATTTAGGTACTGATTTATTCTTTTGCCATCAGATGTCTGAATCTACCTATTTCATTTCCGAGTGTGACATCTTTATTACCTGTTGGGCACATTCAGCAGATGGGAAAAAAAATACAAAAGTGTATAACTGCAGTATGTCTGAGTTATGAATTTTCTGTGCTGGCTAGAATCCCCCAGCCTATTAAACTGAATTACTTGCAAGCTGCTGGATCATGCAACTAATCAGTTTGTTTTGTCCTTGATAGTGGGGTTGCCCAGACACTCAAGAAAGGAGAGGTTTTTTTGTATGAAGTTGGAGGGAATATTGGTAAGTACATTCTCATTCTGTAAGTTGATTTGATGTTGCCAATATTTGTTATCTATATCTTTGGAAGAAAAATATTGCTATATTTGAGAGTGAACATAGCATGCCTTAGATGATTGCTGAATACTATGGGGTTGTTCAGTGGTCTGACCTTTCTTCCTGGGTCCTCTTTTTTGAGCTCCTTATGTTCAAATTATCACTTATAATTTGACCATTCCTTTCAGTGTTATAGAGCTTGGAAATTAGTGTGGTTTCTTAGCTGAATTCAAAATGACTGCTATGTTTAATAAAGGTGGGGATGATGTTGATGAAGCACTTAAAGTTTATCACACAAAGTATTTCCAGCTTCTTAATTCAATTTGACACCAACATTTAGACTACCCAATTGGTTTCTTCAATGCCTTGACTAATTCTCATGTTGTCATGAGAAATGGAAGAGTGATAAAGATTCTGAAATTTAAGATCTTAAACCATTGAGATTAATTTTAGGATTGCACCTACTGTGCTAACGGATACCTTGCCTCCTTCACAGGGGAACGCTGCCTCGATGATGACACATACATGAAGGACTTGTACCAACTGAACCCAAACGCTGAGTGGGTCATAAAATCCAAGCCAGCGTAGAAGACAAGGACTAGTAACCTCATTCTTGCTGGGTCAAGAGTGGAAGTAAAAGTAGCAGCTTTCCTAATTATTACACAGTGACACCCTCAAGCTTTAAAATTATATATATATGTATTTTTTTGTGGCTGCCATAATTGTTGTTTATTATTAGAAAAATATTTTTGGATTAAGGAAAAAGGGGCTTAGTTAGCTAATGGGCTGTTTATACATACTTTAAAATGTGTTCAGATGTGACGGCTTTTTTTGTATGAAATAAGCTCTTTACCACTTTTTGTTTCTTTGTTTGTTTGGTGGGGGTACTAGGTATTGAACCAGAACTTTGCTGATTGTGGGCAATTTCTTTAATGACATACCTAGTAATATCCCCATCAGATTAAATAATCTCTACTCATAGATTTACCAATAGAGTTTGGGTTATTTACCTCTTCAGAATGTTGTCTTCCCCTTTTTACCCCCTCCTATCTACCTTCCCTCAATAAAATTTGCTTTTTAACCAGAAAGAAATAGTTAATAGCAGGTATGGAAAGCTATGAAGACAAACCTAACTCAACAGTATTCTTCTTACCACAGAAGGTTAGTGTTCATAGCTTTGAATCAACTGTCCAAACAATCCAGGCAGTTGATTTTTTTTTTTCAGCTTATCTGACTTATGTGCACAAAGTTGTATCCATCATCAAAACCAAAAGTGGCAGGAACTTCCAATTATCACCAAAGCATTAAATGTTTAAATACTCAGGAAAAATGAACTGGATCCACATGAACTATGAATTACCTAAGACCACAATGTGAAAAGCCAGATCACTTTATGTGTGCCACACTCTTTCAGATAGAAACTGAAAAGTCACATATGAAGTTACCTGGCAACTTAGTCACTATCACAGTAGTACAACACGGAACAATTGGAGAACGCATTGTGAAAGGCCACTTCCCCACCTCCAGAATGAGTCTTCCGGGTGTGGCAATCATTTATGTGAACAAGGCTTTGCTTGTCTTCGTACTTTAGGTGATCTGAGTCAGGTGATCTGTGTCATTGAAAGTATTATTCCCAGGACTTTTCATGCACAGATCATACTGTGACAAAACATAAACCTCTGCTGTAAATAAGAGAAATGAAATGAGAGCAATGTTCGCCATTTTATAAGAGTAGAGTGTCATTGATAGAAAGGTGGTGTGCGTGGGTATTGCGCCAATGTGTTGACGAAACTGTTCGTAGTCCTTTAGGGGAAGCTGGACGTTCTCCGAAGCTCTTGATGTCACTCTAATTAGGAAGGAAAGTGCTGAATATGAAGGCAGCAAAATGCTGAGCATGTAATTACGAGAGCAGCTGTGGATGGATGCTTCAGTAACGCCATGGTGATTCGTGCCATTGCTTTTTTATTTAAAGAAATTTTATAATTAAATGCCTTTTTCTAAACAATCTTCTCTTGGAATTATTACTTTTAAAACAGTATGTTCATGAGTCTACTTTTGTCTTTTAAAATTATTTTAATTAACACTCTACTTTCAATGTAATTATGTCTCATCTACTCTATTGGTTCTATGTTCCTGTGTAGTTTTTAAGTTCAGAAGACATGAGACACACTTTTCTTCTTTAGCTCCTCCCCCTTTTCTTTCTTATATTAATGTCTATCCTTTAGGGATTCCAAAAGACATTTTGTTCTGTTCCTTATTATAAGAATATTTTTATTTCTTGGTTAACAGATTTTTTTTTTTATTGATAGTGCAAACAATGTGCAATTCTGAAGAAAAACCATGTGCTTAAAACCTCTAGGGATTAGCGAGGTGTGATGATGCAGGCCTTTAATCCCAACACTCTGGAGGCAGAGGCGAGCAGATCTCTGAGTTTGAGGCCCGAGTGGTCTACAGTGCGAGTCCGGACAGAAGTCAGGATAGTGACAAAGAAATGTTTCCTAGAACACATGTCAACTGATTCTCAGCACAGAGATTGCCTCCTCAGGGAGATTGGCAGAGGACTACCCAGGTTTTGATGGCGAGTCATTCCTAGAAATCATGGCCTAAATTCATTGGCACTGAAAAGTGCATTTAAATCACATACGTGTATACATATACACGTATATATTATATAAATAATGTAATATTTATACACATGTATTTATATCATACATCATACATCATATATATATATATATATACACACACACATATATATATATATATACATATATATATATATATATATATATATTTGCTTCTACAGAATGGAATTTGACATTGTAGAGCCTTAGATACATGTCCTGGCATTTACTCAAATGCTTTTACTATACTATTTTGATTTCTAGTAATATCAAAATAAGTTTTAATTTTCAGTGTACATTCGTTTGGTTAAGAAAAGAAAAATGATGTGAAAACACATTTGCTTTGAGTCTCAAACATTTAACTCTGATGGGAGTTGTTGACGAGAAATCGAGCTGGTGGGATGTTCACCCTGCCGCCCTTCAGCCCTTCAGCAGGGCTGATGATCTCATCTCCCCGTTCTTGCTTTTCTGCTTTGCCATCTCACTTGCTGCCATAATCCTTTTAGCTAATTCTGGTCCTTGTTATTTCTTTCACTTATACAACTTTTGCCTAGTATAGTTACGGAGATCGATATAAATTCCTTGTTGGCCATCAGTAGGAAAAGTCCATTGTTTTCTCAAGTTTGTAGAACTTGTTTATACTTTGTGGTTGTCTTGATTTCCCACCTACATGTCAGTAGGTGGCAGTATTGGGCAAAGATTCCTTTAAATTCAAAGAAAGTTTTTTTTTTTAACTTTTATTAATTACACTTTATTCACTTTGTATCCCCCCATAAACCCCTCCTTCCTCCCTTCCGAATCCCACCTTCCCTTCTCCTTCTTTACGCATGCCCCTCCCCAAGTCCACTGATAGGGGAGGTCCTCCTCTCCTTCCTATGTTTTAGGAATTCATGCATATGTTGCTATGACTTGGTGACAGGCACCTATACCTTTTCCATGATTACATCGTGGGGTTCTGTTTTAGTTACTTTGAAATTGTAAGCAATAAGTAACAGTATTTTTGTGTGTTTCATGAATTAGTCTGCTTTAGCCCTTTAATCTATTGAATGGATATATCAGATCCAGAATTAAAGTCTCAGTAGTGTCACTTACTGAGAGTTGTGAGGCAAGGTGGCAAACCAGAAGGGCTAGAGATGAAGAACTCGGAAATAGGAGAGCTTTGGTGACATTTGTCTTAGTGTATATATGTTTTTCTTTTTTATTCAACAAATACCTATTGAACACTGACAGGCACACATACACATACCTATGTTAAGTAAGCTGTTCCCCTTGAGATTTTTTTTTTAGTGGAAAAAATAATCAAAGCATTGATTCTGTTGGATTCATATTTTAATGATGGAGGCAAGTAAGGAATTAAACAAAAGTAATGTGGGTAGGACTATAGAGTGTAATGAAAGATGGTAAGTACAGTGGGGGTATAAAAGATGAATGGGGCCAGTAGGACCAGGGCTGGAGGGATGAGTGGATGAGAGCATGAAATGAGGAGTCTCCTTGAATGGTTGACAACTAAATAAAGACTTGGAGAAAAGAAGGTTTTTCTGGTGGATATTTAGAATGACATTTTAGACAAAAGGAACATTTAGGACCAAGGTCCACCATGAAAACGTACCTTGTCACCAGTGTGGCTGGAGTGGACTCAAGGCCAGCGAAAGAAAGCAAAGGTCAGAGAGGGAAATGCACAGACAGAGTCTAGTATCATGAGAGCCTAGATTAGAAGAGTGGTAATTTATTTATTTATTTTTATATCAGAACAGTCAGTAAAAGGACACTATTGACAAAAGCCATAGCTGTAAAGTAATGAGACATCATGGTCACTCCACAGAGTGAGGGCAGAGCCTGCAGGCTCGCTGGTCAGAGATGAGAATATATAATTCCAGCACTTGACTGTCAGTAGGGTGGAGTCTAGATAAACTGTGCCCTCAGCTGAGATCAAGGAAAGGTGTGAGTTTTATAGAGAGAACAGGAAATGGAGCCCTAGAACTTCCCAGTATTCAAGTCTAGGAAGTGAAGGAAGAAAAGCAGTATCAGAAACTCCTCCTGAAATAAGAAGTTATGGTGTATGGGATGTCACGGAAAGGCACCAAAGTTCTATCAGATTCTCCTTGTAGCTCAGGTTGATCAATCATGGGATTTATCTGTGTGGGGTCTTTGTTGCTCTTGATGAGTAGTTGAAAATATTAAGGATTATTATAGTGGGACTAAGTTCTCATAAGGTGTTCTGCTGCTACCCCTCCCCCAAAAAGCCTATAAAGTGGGAGGCATTCTGGTCTCATTGAAGTTTTGAAGTTTGCTTTATCTAAGCAATGTTTTGAGGAAAGCTGCCATGGGTACAGAAGACAATATGGACTATTTTAGTGTAACTTTGGGCATGTTTCTCATCTGAGCTTCATTGTTTTGTTTTGTTTAAAGATAATAATGAGAATATTCAATATTTAGTCGCTTGTTAGAATCATCTGTATCAAGAACTCAGCAGCATACTTACCTGATAACATGTAGTCAAATAACAGTATTTTTATTAGTGGTGGTTATGATTAATATCAGAACTGTAGCATGAGAATTCTCACGATATCATGCTAGGGCTCTACTGTTTCTGCTCGACATAGAGCAGAGGTGGAATAGACATATTAAAACAAGATTACAATAAACAAGAGTTAGACCTGGGGCAATGGAAAGTAGAATGAGTAAGGCTGACGTTACACAGTTGGAATCTGGAGTCTGGGTCATTCCACAGCCTCTAGGGGAGTGACAGGGTGCATATAAATTACCAAGTAATAAGTAAAAATAATGCAAATGACTGTGAGAACAAAGGATGCTTCCTTTTGACTAATTTTAGATTAGAGTGAAGAACTGATTGGAGATAAAAGGACTGAAAAAGTGGTAGAGAGGAAAGAGAAAAAAAAGGATATATATATAGAGAGAGAAAATGATGTGTGAAGCTTGAAGTGAGCTGTGTGCAAAGGCCGTAAAGTTAGGAAGTATCTTTTAGGAAGTATTCTTGAAAGATGTATATTTAGAGTCTACTTGTTGGGATATGGTAGCATAAGTGAAAAGGGTTAAGAGAGCTAAGCACCACCTTGAAATCATAATAACAGTAGGAAATGTGTGAAACTCAAGAGACACCAAGGCTAACAAAGAAAATGACCAACTGTGTCAGATAATCAGGAAAACATCAAGACAAGAATTGAGCTAGAATTCAGGACAAACCTGCTGGAAGCAGGCCTAAAGTACTTTAGGATTAACAGGAACACAAGTCTTTCCTGCTTGATCAAGATGCAAGCAGGAACTGGAAGATAAGAATTTAGGTGGGGTTGTTGGAGGGAGGGATAGTGAGAATGAAGTTTATCAAGGCTCTTTTGTGGGGCCCATTTTTTGATATATTGGATAGGGAAAAATAATCTGAAAAAAAATATATATATATATTTGCACAGACATTCTAACACTTGAATGGTCTGTATCACTGCATTTAGTAAATTCAAGATTTTGGAAAAGTCTTCTCTAAAATAGTACTTAGAGTGATTTTTTTTTTTTTTTTTGAGATGATGTCTCCTGTAGCCCTCATTGTATAGGTGGGGATGACCTTGAATCTCAAATCCTCTTGTCTCCACCTCCCAAGAACTGTGAGTATAGGTGTGTAACACTGCCAGGTTCATTTGGTGCTGGTGGAAACAAAGCTTTACTCATACTAGACAAGCATTCTCCCAACTAAATTACATCTGCACGTCCAAATAATTAACTTTTGAAGAAAATTGACGGTGCCAAATATGAAATTTATCTCCAGGGTTTTGCCAAACCTTGACCAAAAATGTCATTTACATTTTACTTTTATGACATTTTAAGTTTAAGTGTCTTTCCAACTCTAAATTAAATGGTTCTAAAAATATGCTTATTGGCAAGTTTGTATTTAGTACAGGAGGATCACACAGATGTACTAAAGCATATTTCATGTTAGTAGCTCTCTATACTGAGGGCAAAGAGCACAACAGAGAAGGAGCCAGAGGGATGAGGACGCAAAGGAGAGAGACTAACCAAAATGAAATATGCACGAAAACCCACAAGGAAACATAGCACTTTGTAAGCAAATTTTAAAAAATAACAAAAACTTAAATAGAAAATCCTTCATTGCAGATTCTGGGCCTACCTACTCTACACAGTCTTCAGTGTACCTATATTATACAGAGGGCTATTACTTGGCCTACTTATTAAAACCTGGGGGACATACACTAGATAAATTCTGATGCCACTCAAGAATGAAAACAAGTGCTATACAAAGCTTTGCCCACCATGTTTAATAAGTTTTGAGATGTGAATAATTCACTAGATACTCTGGAATTCTGTTTTTCAATTTTTTCCACCCAACCTCCACCTATGATGCATCTCTATA